AAAAAGATTTAATAAAATATCTCTGACCAAGTGCAAATTGATCATTTTTGTGGTATTGTTTTAGGATTTAGGAAACAAATTTAACTTGTATTTCTATTTAGAAAATAGTCAACATTCAGGACATTTTCTCATAAAGATAATTATATGTAAACTTATAGTTTAAATAATACATTTTAACATGCTTATCAGCTAAATTTCTTTTTGACTCGTGAAATTAAATATACTCTGTCTATGTTATCCAGCTTTTGTGTCATGCACAAATTAAAATATTTTAAGAAATAACTGAGAATTCATAAAAAAAATTGCCATTAATTAAAATATATCAAACTGTTAGCATAAAAAAAAAAAGTGAAATTACTAATGTAAAATATTAAGTACAAATATGAACTTTGGCTTGAAATGGAAAAAATTTGAATATCACCAAATATGACTTGTACATAATATAGCAGGCAAAATGTAATAATTAAACACATGCATAGGTACAATCAATCAATAAAATAGAATGAAATTTTACAATAAAATTATAAATATTGTTGCCAAATGTTAAACCTCCTTTTAAAACACACACACATGATATATTTATATTAGATCATTTAAGAAAGACTTACTTCTGATGGTCAGTTTAGTTCCTCCACCAAAAGTGTACCACAGTGCTTCATTCTAGTGAAAGCGTCGTACAAAAACCTCCGTCACACTCAGATGAACAAACTCCACGACACTCACACACACTGATATGAGACTCAACATCAGACATGGATTATTCAAAAGCAGCAGTACAAAATTATCATCTTTAATAATAAATCATTGTTATTGCATTAAGGCTGAAATCAAATCATTTGTTTCATAATCAGTCCCAAAATTCATCATATTTACAAAACACCTGTTATTTAAACTTTGCTAATTCTATTTACCTGCTTTGCAATGAACTCTTTAGCAAGATTTAGATGGTGATTCCCTTAAATGACCTTTGACCTGTTATACAGTATCATACTAGGCCTATCATGGATGACATCAAATCTGTAACACAGGTATTAAATGCTCTCAGCATGAAAAACTGATTGAAAGTTATCATAAAACAGTGTTTGGAGGGAGAAGCTCGACCTGAAATAAATAATTAAATAACATGCAGTAAATCATGAGTGTTTGTTTCTGAAAATGGAAAGAAGAAATTAAAGATACTAAATAGTAAATGGGTACATTGCTGTCTTCAGGTAAATGATGTGGAGTATGTTTGCATATTGATCAGATGCTTCAGTGCTCTGAGAGTGTTTATAGTGCTGTGAGTTTAACACTTCATCACTGACACACACAACAATCTTCATCAACATGACCTTCATCATCATCTTCATCTGGACTCTCACAGCGTTTGCTCAAGGTTTGTGGAGCACAAGTTTGATATGAATTCATTTCTTCAAGTATATTGTCAGAGTTTTGAGTTGATTTTCTTCTTGTTGTGTGTTTCAGAGAGTAGAGGACAGATCAGCGTCACTCAGAGTCCCTCAACGACAGCAGCTCAACCAGAAGAAACAGTCAAAATTAGCTGTAAAACCAGCAGAGATGTGTACAGTTGGAATAGGAAATACTATTTAGCCTGGTACTTACAGAAACATGGAGAAGCTCCTAAACTCCTGATTTTTGATGCAGATGTCCGCCAGTCAGGAACTCCATCTAGATTCAGCGGCAGTGGATCTAACAGTGATTTCACTCTGACCATCAGTGGAGTCCAGACTGAAGATGCTGGACATTATTACTGTCACAGTGCACACAGTGGTCCAACGTTCACACAGTGATAAAGAGTTGTACAAAAACCTCCGTCAGTCAGAGTCACAGTGATGAACTGATGCTGCAGCTGCTCAAACACTATCACTATCACTCACTATTGACACACAGAGACCAAACACAGAACTACACATGAGATCAAAACTGAGTTAGGAGTGAAATTAGCTCTATTAGGGTGTACTCACCCTAGGCACGGTTGCCTTAAACCGAGCCCAATCGCAATCCCCCTCCTCCCCCGCTGGGCTGCACTCACATTGCACTTTACATTCCGGGCTGGAGCACGCCTACGTCATTATGAATGAATGAATGAATGAGGCATTTATATAGCACTTTATTGTGTATGTACACCCAAAGCGCTTTACAATCATATGAGGGGGTCTATCCTCAACCACCACCTATTAAGTTTGTGGTTTATTGTTTTGAGTCGTTTAGGACACGGTGACACACGGCCCTCTCACAATATAGCCTATTGATAAACAGATTTATTGCTTTTGCCGCTCACACCATGTCTATACTGGATGCGGAGCGGCATGACACGACAAATCCCAGACAGTAAACTACTGCCTCGTTCTATTTATAACGTACTGACACAAAGATCAAATTATTTGCAACAGTCGCATTGTCGCGTCAGTGTAGACAGCAGCCCTGTCCCAAATCACACCCTAAACCCTCGCAGTCTTCCTCGGAGTCCACACTGCCATGACGTTATGTCACTTTGACTGTTGGGTAGAAGTCTGCCGTGGAGCTCGCCTCAGTGCGGGGTCGAGAGAAGTGTGCATCAAGGGTGCATAGCGGCCGCAAAGGGGGCACTCGCAAGCACCCTTCTAAAAGCTAAAATGATGAATGGGACACTCTACGGACTCGTGGACTTAATGGACACACACATACGGTGGCCATTGTAAGACCGCAAGTGCACATGAAGTGTGCCATTTGGCACTGGGCCAGTGTCAAGCTGTTGCAACGTGTGTGCTGCACATTTCCAGTTCCGCGCACAGGTACATTTAGCGCTCACACTACATGCGTACTGAATTGAACCGTGCTCTTGCCCACCTCTTCCAAGCAAGCCAGGGACGGATAAACGGAGCAATCACACTAGACAAACGAACCAGGCTTTGGGGGTCAAACGACTTCTGTAACCCAAATGAAGCACGTTGATGAGCGTGCGTGCTCTTGTTCTCACTCTAGTTGATGTGTGCGCACTTTTCTGGGAGAACTGCCCATAAAAGCAATTCCGCCCTTTATGACGTCATACAGGCCCATACTCGGAAAAAACATTCCGAAACTTATTCGAACCCTGAAGGAGTGTATTTGGCACAAAAAAAACTCCATCAAACATCCAACTCGGTTTTCTTCAACTCTTTAGCAGTATAAAATAGTCAGAAGGCATGAAATGGCAGTAGAGCTCCTCATTATATTTAAATATATTTACTTAAGCATTTAATCTTTACACATTTGGGCCATCAGGAGTCTTTCTTCATGTGGTTTGAATTGGATGTAAATTTTAAGCAAATTTTTTAAAGTCCACACTAACCGATAAATCATGTTTTGTGCATGAAAATGCTCACACATGTGAGTCAGTCAGTAAGAGTGTGTCTCAATCTGCTCATTAGTGTCATGGTTGATAGATGCATCGGCCCCTTCTGGTCGTTCGGTGTACTACTGTTGATTGATTATTAGGTTCAGCTGTGGCTCGTCAGCTGCCCTATATTAGTCTCAGCGTTTGGTCTTGTCTTTGTCAGATCATTGTCTCATGTCTGTTCTGGTTGCAGTGCCTCCTGTTTTGCTTGGTTCCTGCTCTCTGGATTATTGGACTGATTTCCACTCATTGTCTCGTGGTTGGAGATGTATGCGTCTTTGCTCACTGCAGAGTGTTACCGAGGAGGCCTGTCATCACAGCACCCACGACTATCTGTTTTCTGTGACTTTGCTTGTTTTGGTCACGTTTAATAAATTACAATCTAACCTCGCAATTGAATCCATCTTGTGTTTCCTGACAATTAGTTCACTAGTCAGTGCGTTCCTCAGGGATTACATAACGCTCACACTCAAAAAATTCCCACAATGCACCATAAAGCCAGTATGCATCGCTGCAGTCTAGTGATGTTTCTTAAGGTCCCTCAAACCAACTAAGCTGAAATGAATGTGCTTAATTTATATACAAAAACACTAATCAAAATATTTAAAGTTATTAATACATCCACAATCATAGTCCAATCCGATAATAAACTGACAAGATAAAGCACCAGTCAAACTAATTTACAAAAACAAAAAAAAGTGTGATGAGCAGATGCAATGATTGACCAAATAAAATGAACAAGAAATCTTCATTTAGAAGCTCATTTAAATACAGGATCAGTTCATTTGCATATTGATCAGATGCGTCAGTGCTCTGAGAGTGTTTATAGTGCTGTGAGTTTAACACTTCATCACTGACACACACAACAATCTTCATCAACATGACCTTCATCATCATCTTCATCTGGACTCTCACAGCGTTTGCTCAAGGTTTGTGGAGCACAAGTTTGATATGAATTCATTTCTTCAAGTATATTGTCTGAGTTTTGAGTTGATTTTCTTCTTGTTGTGTGTTTCAGAGAGTAGAGGACAGATCAGCGTCACTCAGAGTCCCTCAACGACAGCAGCTCAACCAGAAGAAACAGTCAAAATCAACTGTAGAACCAGCACAGATGTGTACAATGATGGTTCTGATGATTTGTTAGCCTGGTACTTACAGAAACCTGGAGAGGCTCCTAAACTCCTGATTTATTATGCAAACCGCCTCCAGTCAGGAACTCCGTCTAGATTCAGTGGCAGTGGATCTAAAACACTATCAAACACTATCACACACTACTGACACACAGAGACCAAACACAGAACTACACATGAGTTCAAAACTGAGTCAGGAGTCAAATCTGGGGGCTGTTTCATAAAACAAGTTTACCAAATAAGCCAGGCTTATTTCAGTTAGTCTGACATATTTTGAACCAAGTCAAGTGACAACAAGTCTGTCTTATTTGGTAAACTTGTTTTATGAAACAGCCCCGAGTTCTATTAGGCTATGTATACATTCTCAGTTAAATGTGACCCAATTCCGATTTTTTTGACCATATGTGACACAGATCAGATGTTTTCTAGTATGACGTGTAAACAGGAAAAAAATGCATGTATTCGGATATTTCAAGATCGGTTTCAGGCCTCATTCATATGTGGAAATAAATCAGATATAAATCAGATATGTGCCAATGCGACTCTCTTGTAAACAGGCAGATCGGATTTTCTGTTTTCTCAAATCAACTGACAATAAGTCAGACTAACTGAAATAAACCTGGCTTATTTGGTAAACTTGTTTTATGAAACAGGCCCCTGGATGTTTCAGATGATATGGCAAGTGTAAACACATGAATTGGATATGGGTATCGGCAACAAATCAGAATTGGGCATCAAGACCTGCAGTGTAAACAAGGCCTTAGACTGTAATCTGTGCTGTGACAGACGGGTTTGATTCAATTATGCTCAGAATCAGAGAAAACGGAGTGTGTACATCGATTTCAGAATCAGAATCAGAATCAGAATGAGCTTTATAGTTAACTTTATAATAAGTGTATGAGTGAATAAATAGTGTGTGTTCCACGGTTATTGTCAAGTGTTCATGAGATGGATGGCCTGAGGGAAGAAACTGTTCCTGTGTCTGTCCGTTCTGGTGCTCAGTGCTCTGTAGCATTGACCAGATGGCAACAGTTCAAAGAGGGAGTGTGCTGCTTGTGAGGGGTCCAGAGTGATTCTGCCAGCCCTTTTGCTCACTCTGGATGAGTACAGTTCTTGGAGAGAAGGGAGGGTTGTACCAATGATTCGCTCAGCAGTCCGGACTACCCTCTGAAGTCTTCTGAGGTCAGATTTTGTAGCTGAGCTGAACCAGACAGTTATTGAAGTGCAGAGGACAGATTCAATGATGGCGGAGTAGAACTGTTTCAGCAGCTCCTGTGGCAGGCAAATCAAACAAACAATAACGGTATCATGTTTTTGTACATTAAGCTACACTGTAAAGTTATTGTAAATCACCAGCAACACAAAGATGTTTTGAGCCTTTTTAAATGAGTTACTTCATCTCAAGCTTATAATGAATCTCTCGCTCAGGCTCCAGTCTGACGGGAAGCCCTTGCTGGCCACACACACCAGTGTCGCTGTCTTCTTTGAGGAGATCTCTGCACTGGAGGGCGGCAGGACGCTCACTTTAGGACGAGTGACGCCTGACAAACACACAAGTGTCAACTCACTGAAGAAGAAAGCATTTCTCTCCTTTCAGCTTCAGAACAAATATAGGAACAATTTATACATCGATTAAACTGTAATGCATTAAACTGCAAGTCACCTGAATTAATTTTTGCAAAGCCGGCGATCAGCAAAGTAATGAAAGTTTGGTGAAATACATTTATTTGAGTCATTTTGATGATCAACGTCAATACTAGTCAATTTTATTAAAAGCATCAAAGATCAGATATAAATAAACATAATAACGCAGGAATTTATCACAATTTTTGATAACAGCGTGAGAAAATTGGGTAAAAATGTTTGAAAAAAGTAAAAAAAAAAACAGAAAATATACTTTTGTCTGGCATGTCTACTATAAATTATTAACCTGTCAAATATTAACAAAATACAATTAAGAAACCAGAATTTCCAGTTTGAAAATATTTGTAGGCTTTACTTAAAAATCAACACACTAATCTGAAAATGTAAGTTTAATTACTGTCTTAAATGTTCAAGTAAAATCAAAGTGGTGTTAAAATGACAAAATAATGTACATTTGATTTCAGTGCACCTTTTTAACATTTAGAATTTAATTATCAATTAAGAAAAAAGAGCTGAAGCTCTGAAAACTCATAAAATCAAGTTATTAAGAATGTTGAGAACATTTATTTCTCAAAGCATTTTTTATCATTAAAGCAGCTTTTAAAAGATGTTTTGATGACCTGTGACCTCTGGATTGACCTTTGGCCTCTCATGGAGTTCACAGTGACATTGTTCTTGATGCAACTGTCATTCGAATCATCAGAAAA